AGAACTCTTCTGTCGGTTGTGTCATCAACAGCACTGAGTGATCGATTCGAATTATCAGCATTGGAGAGTTTATAGTTTCTCGTCCAGTCTGTTCACAGTCTTTCGTTCGATAGTCGGCTGATTTCAGCGGCTTAATCAGCGACAGGAACGTCACCACTATCTTATCAAATCGTCCGAAACAATAATGCTGAAATATTTGGGCTAGGTGCTAGAGGATAGGAACATGGTTTATGATACGGCCCTTGAATCCAAGGGAGCAATAGACTGACTTAGACCAAAGTGTATCTCGAAGACTACCTGCCGCTACCACACGAATCATTGGTGGAGTATGGCATCAAAATTTCATTGTGACATACCATTAATGGGAGAGACACTGAAGGGCTCTCATTGGAACGGAGTGTGAGACCGTTCCACTGCTGCAGTATATCTGTGTATGAAATGGCGCACTTCAAACGAGGCGTCCGTAGGAAGAGAAGTTCCGAAGAATTCCTCGCATGATTATATAATATCTACTGGTAACACAATCCTTGAACGGTCTTCGTTATCACACGAAATCCACTATGTTGATTATTGTTGTGTAGAACAGTCGTAACGAGGAAGGAAAAGTATTGGACTACCGCTGAATAAAGCAGCATCGTGATCTACTACATCCTACCAACTCGTCACCGCAGTAGTAATAACGACAGTAACAAATGAATGTTATTTACTGGCAACGAGGGAAATTGCGGCCCGCAGCATAGGTGGCCTTATCACCGAGCTCCTCCTCAATACGCATAAGCTGATTGTACTTGCAAAGACGCTCAGTACGGCAGGGGGCACCAGTCTTGATTTGGCAAGTGCCAAGACCAGTGACAAGATCGGCGATGAAGGTATCCTCAGTCTCACCGGAACGATGGGAAACCATGACGGTCCAGCCGGCGTTAACGGCCATATTGTTGGCCTCGATAGACTCGGTGATTGAACCTATCTGGTTAACCTTGAGAAGAAGGGCATTCACAGACTTCTCGTTGATACCCTTTTGGATACGCTTGGGGTTGGTAACAAGAAGATCATCACCGACAATCTGGATCTCCTTACCGTCCTTGGCGGTGAACTTGGCGAAGGTCGCCCAATCGTTCTCATCGAAGGGATCCTCAATGAAGACGAAAGGATACTTGTTCATAAGATCCTCCTGGTACTTGATGAACTCATCACCGGTCAACTCGGCATCGGCATGAGGCTCGGGGTTCTGAAGTCGAGGTCATACTTGCCAGTCTTGGCGTCATAGATCTCAGAGGCAGCGAAATCGCA